GGACAGAGCAGGCTGAGTGGGGCAACAAGGCCGGCAGGGGGGTTAGTAAGGGATGAACAAACAACTGAGCAGCGGGCTGTGTGGGGTGACCAGGCCAGCAGAGGGGGGCAGTGAGGGACGATCAAACAAGTGAACAGCAGGCTGCGTGAGGCAACCAGGCCAGCGGGGGCAGTTGGGGGCGACCAGGCCAGCAATGGGGCCGTTAGGGGTGACCAGGCTGGCATGGGGGCAATTGGGGGCTATCAGGCTGGCAACAAGGGGCAGTTAGGGGCAACCAGGCAGGCAGGCAGGTGAGCGGTTAGGAGCCAGCAGTCCAGAATTGTGAGAGGGATGTCCAACTGCTGGTTTAGGCCCGATCCCAGGGCCTAAACCAGCAGTCGGACATCCCCCAAGGGGTCCCAGATTGGAGAGGGTGCAGGCTGGGCTGAGGGGACCACCCACCCCCCCTGCTGTGCACAAATTTTGTGCACCGGGCCTCTAATTTTATATAAATTAGTACATTTGCCTTCACTCTTCATCCTTTTTACCCCATTATATATTTGTTTATTTTTTGTATTTTAGTTATTAATTGATTTTAGAGAGAGAGGAAAGGAGAGAGAGGAGTGAGACAGAGACAGAGACAAAGAGAGAAAGAGAGAGAGAGAGAAACATCAATTTGTGTTGCTCTACTTATTTATGTATTCACTGGTTGATTCTTGTATGTACCGACTGGAGAGGGAACCCACAACCTTGGCATATCGGGACGATGTTTAACCAACTGAGCTACCCAGCTAAGGCTTTTTCCTCTATCTTCTCTCGCACTGGAATATAAGTTATATGAGAATAGGGACTCTACTCTCTCTGTTACCCAGCCCAGAAAATGCTTGGCACTTGGTAAGAGCATACTAAATGTTTATTGAACTGATGAATCTTTACTTAAACTTTATGTTTAAAAATCAGTGGCTCCTTAACATTTTTGCTAAATGAAAATAAAGTTGAACCTTTAGCACCTCTGCACCTAAATATAGTACTAAGTTTAATGCCAGGAACCTTAGGAACTTTAAATCAGGTGTAACTGCCAATCACACTGCTGTCACCTGGCACCTGGGGGAGGAATGCTCTACAAAGGCTGAGAGGTGTTCAGCATTCAGTTCAGAACTGTGCACACTCCCTAACCATTTCCCACCCTCCCCTAAAAAGTATTCCTGAGAGCAATCTCCAAGGCTGCTCTGAAATGCTTCTTCCATACCCATTTCATTTGGCCCTCTCCTTCCATTGCTAAAATATTTTCCTTAATTCTTTTGTGTGTGTATTTTTCCTCTATTATTGAACTGTCATACACTTTCTAGGGAAGCAAGGAAAACAGAAATTCAGAAATGCAAATGGTCTAGAGCAGTGTTGGTCAATTCTTTGAAAGATTTTTAAAAAACATTAGACATGGCCAGTCTCTTCCCTCTAGATCAGTGGTTCTCAACCTGTGGGTCGCGACCCCTTTGGCAGTCAAACGACCCTTTCACAGGGGTCTCCTAAGACCATCCTGCATATCAGATATTTACATTACAATTCATAACAGTAGCAATATTACAGTTATGAAGTAGCAAAGAAAATAATTTTATGGTTGGGTCACAACATGAGGAACTGTATTTAAAGGGCCAGAAGGTTGAGAACCACTGCTCTAGATTGTAATGTGATCAGTCTGTGGTGGGGACCATACAATAATACTTTTCAAAAGCTTCCAGGTTAGTCTAACCAGAGCTGAGAAGGCCTGGCCTCCAGGGATCTGTATGGATGGACTTGCTTCCTAGGTAAGTGTCCCTGCTGTTTGACTGACAATGCATGGCGGCCAGGATGCTTCTGCAGCGCCAAGTGCGTAGTATGTAATGAGGACTAAAGAAACTGGTGTTGAATATTTCAAAAACCAGTGACTAGTCTTTCCCACCACTGACACGTGTACCAGAAAGACCTTTTATCCCGGGCACAAAGTACTTGCGTGCTTGAGATCTCTCTTTCTTTCTCCCTCCCTCCTTCCTCCATCCCATCCCCCCTCCATTTTCTCTTCTGTTTCTGTGAGGATGGCCAGAAGAGGGCTGTTGGCAAGCCAGCCAGAGAGTCCTCCCCAGGAACCAAACTAACTGGCACCTTGATCTTGGACTTCCTAGCCTGCAGAACTGAGAGAATAGAAGAAAAGAAAACACTTGCCCAGAATCAGGTTCTTAACAAGCTTTTGCTCATCCTCCTTCTTGTATTCCAGCATTCCTTGGAAATCCTTTTCTTTCCTGGGAATGTTGACTGGACGGATGGGTTCATCAATGATCTGTCCTGGGGATATGTTCTCCATCTGGCCCACTTCATGAGAAACAAAAAGGAGAAAAAAAGGTTTTCTAGGGAGAAAAGATGAGAAGGTTCCATGTTCCTATAATTTTAAACGATGAATTCTATAACAAAAAAAAATGTGCCATATTTGCCACTTAATTGTCCCCTTTTTATGTTATTTTTTTCCAAGCAAATATATTTAACTTTTTTAATTGTCCCTACTTTAATTACCTTTTCTGCTAAAATTGGCTGTAAATGGCAAAACTGTATGGGGATGTCACTGACAGCCACCAGTGCTGGGTTACTATTAATGTCAGAGAACCTTACGTGACTGAAAAGCATTTTTGGGGGGGAAGGGGGATAATAAATTACTCTGTAATTGGGTTAAATGTTCCCAAAGTTAGTGTTTTAACTTCTTGGTTAATGAACGGTTATTAATCATAAATAGTTGAATATATTTAGACTTTAAATCACAGAAGGACAGAAGGAAAAACATAATATTCTACAAAAAGGAAGAAACACTGTAGATTTCCCTCACTTTCAGCTCTATGAATCTAGTCATTAAAGAAAAAGAAAACTGACTTTAAATGTATCATTGCAATGAGTTCAAACCACATGAGAGCTGGTAGGATAGTGTGTCTTCATACTGGTTGATGTGAAATGTTTTCTTTTTCACAGAGGCTTTCCAAAACGACCTAACTTGCTCCCACCTAAAGAAATAACGAGCAGATAAAACCACCTCTATTGAATGTACCCAGTTTTTGTTTATCTGTTTCTAGTAAAGGGCTAACCATCAAGTTGCAACCATTAAAGCACAGCTAACCTGTTCAGAGGTTAAAAGTGGTCACTACTGGCCGAAACCGGTTTGGCTCAGTGGATAGAGCGTTGGCCTGCGGACTGAAAGGTCCTAGGTTCGATTCCGGTCAAGGGCATGTACCTGGGTTGCGGGCACATCCCCAGTAGGAGATGTGCAGGAGGCAGCTGATCGATGTTTCTCTCTCATCGATGTTTCTAACTCTCTATCTCTCTCCCTTCCTCTCTGTAAAAAATCAATTAAAAAAAAAAGTGGTCACTACTGTCAGCAGCTGCTGGAGAAGAATAATGCTAAGGATTCAAAAAGTCTCCCAATATCACCTCAGAATTAAGACTAAGTGGGGAATGCAAGAGAAGGTATGGGAGCACAGGGGTTCGAGTTCTGTGGTGTTTGTGCAGACACATGCTAGTGATCAGGTTGTGTAACCTATAGGAAGGGGGCAGTTAAGAAACCTGTTCAGGTGAAGATTAATTTGAGTTCAGAGACCTGCAAACAAGATGCAGATCAGAGGCATCAGAAAGGTCAGTGCTGCTGACTGCACAAGGTGTCAGCGTGCTCTCCTGTCACCCTGGGGCAATCCTGTGTTGGGTCTGGGAAGCCAGTTCCACAGGAAGAGGCTATGGGAGAGAATACCAACAGCTGTCCGAGCTCCTGCTGCAGCACCAAGACTAGCAGTGCTGAAGATGGCCACCGGCCATCAGAGCGGTGGCCGCACTGTGGTTGGACAAATCAGGGCTGTGGCACCTAGTGCTTCATGTGCGTGGCCAGTCTGGAAACCAAGGTAACTGTGAAATGTGTGCCTCTGCCTCTCACACAGAGATAGAAGATTCAAACTATTCAGTTTTACAAAATTATTTCTGGAGTCAGTTTAAACATAATAGCGCCAGGATATTGAAATCTGTACAAAGAGGTCTTCACAGCTCACATACATGCTACATGTTCAATACAAAAGAATAAAATCTCTGCTAACTAGATTACTAGTTGCTTTCAAGCCAAAGAAATAACCCGAAAAGGGGAAACTGGGGGGAAAATAGACTCAGCATATTAAGTTCATCAATAAATGTACATATTTGGACTCCATATGATGTAAAGAGAATGCTTTATACCTACTTATTTCATCATACCTATGGTGCCATTAACTATGAAATACCATTATTTTATATAACACTTAAGGAGGAAAACACTGCAAGTAAGCTATAACCCATCAACAGTTGAAAGACACATCCTGACTTCAGAGATATTAAAATGTCAAAAAGTGTGCACCTCAGAATTTATGAAATATGTTTTAAAAGAAAGCTTCAGTTTCCTTTTGCAGAACCAAGATATTTTTGGTTCTGCATAAAATGTCAAAGACAAAATTTGCCATACTTTAATTAAAATTTTTCTCTCTGCCTCTGAATTTTCCCAAGAGATTTGAGTCTTTATAAAAACGCACAGATACCCTTAACCAGTTTGGCTCAGTGGACAGAACGTCGGCCTGTGGGCTGAAAGGTCCCAGGTTCGATTCCGGTCAAGGGCACATGCCTGGGTTGCAGGTGTGATCTCCAATAGGGGATGTGCAGGAGGCAGCTGATCAATGATTTTCTCTCATCATTGATGTTTCTATCTCTCTCTCCCTCTCTGAAATCAATAAAAATAAATAAAATAAACAATAAATAAATTTTAAAAACCTCACAGATAAAGTGTAGATGTCAGCCCTGGCTGGGCAGCTCAGTTGGTTAGAATGTCATCCTAATACACCAAGATTGTGGGTTCGATCCCCCATCAGGGCACATATAAGAATCAACCAATGAATGCATAAATAAATAAAACAACAAATCTATGTGTGTGTGTTTTTTCTCTCTCTCTCCCCACCTTTCTCTAAAACCAATCAATAAAAAAAATCTTTAAAAATATGTAGATGTCAACTCAATATAACCTTGATTCACTTAGCAAATCATCTGCTATTAAAATAAAACGTCAACCCTTGTATAGCATCAGAAAAGCATGAAGTCTGAAAGAGAGAAGCCAGGACACCAGCCCAGTTTTCAAAGACAAAAGAGAACTTGGGGGATCATCCAGTCCAATGCTCCATCTAATACCGACCTCCTTCTAGAAAGACCTGAAGTGATCCCTATTTCTATCTCACAGATTCTAGAGGAAAAACATTCTAGAACCTTTTTGTCCTGGAAAAGGAAAGGGCACTAGAATTTTTTGTTGTTGATGCTGTTAATCCTCACCTGAGGATATTTTTCCATTGGTTTTTTAGAGAGTAGAAGGAAGAAGGGGAGAGACAGAGAGAGAAACATCGATGTGAGAGAGACACATCTTCACACACCCTGACCAGGGATTGAGCCTGCAAAGTGGTACCTGCCCTTGACCAGAATCGAACCAGGGACCCTTCAGTCTGCCAGCCAATGCTCTATCCACTGAGCCAAACTGGCTAGCACTAGAATTTTATTTTAATTTATCTTTCCTCACTTTGGTACCAGGAAGGGCTTGGTCACCATTTGATTGAGGCAGTAAAATAAATTCCTATAAATAGAGAGATTCTGTTGGAAAATATGACACAAAGGAAAGAAGTCAGTGGTTCTCAGAAGACTTGGGTTCTAGTCCTAGTTTGGCCACTAACTGGATGAGTCTTTGGAAGTCAGTTATGGTTTGTGGACCTCAATTTTTTTCCTCCTATAATATGATTAACCCATTTCTAGGATTCTTTAAGGTCTAAATTCCTTGACTCCATGAAAACTGAGATGAACACCCACTCCTGGATTAAAATATAACACAACGCAGATGAAATTTTGAAACACTTTCCATTTAGCTATGTAATTTCTGCTAAAATTATATATGTTGATGTTTTAAAAAGTTTTCATTGGCTTCTACAAAAGTCTCCGTAATTAAATGTAACTCACAGAAGAAGGCAAGAAGCTCCTATTTTAAATAAGAGACAGTGGATGGGGAGTGAGGGAGGAGGGTGGGGTGGGAACCGGGTGGAGGGGAGCTATGGGGGGAAAAAAGAGGAACAAATGTAATAATCTGAACAATAAAGATTTAATTAATAATAAAAAAACAAAGAAAAAAAGATTTCTATATATTAGAAGGTGCTTTGCTATACAAGGTTGCCAGTATTTTCTGTATAATGGGGAGTAGGGGACAGAAAAAATGTTGGAGGAGCCTGTCACCTTTATTCTCTAATTCTGGGAGGTGGGGGAATACTGCTCTCAACAAGGGCCCAGATCAAATAAACTGATTTCATTTTATACTTTAGACATGCATCAGTTTTTCACCTTTTCTTAAGGATATTCTAATGATCTTTTTGTTTAATCTATGAATTGCCTCCTCAAGTGCTACTTACAGGTTTAAGAACATAGTTGGCAGGATAGTTTAACTGACCAGAAGATTTCTGATTGATAATGGCTTCAACTTGCTAGCATGTCGAAATATCCTAATCTCTCTCTTTAATACATATCAAAGAAATCTTAGTAAAAATAACAGTGAAACCATTAGGAGTTTTAAAAAAAATAATCTCACAAACTGATACCCTTGAAATCAGTTTCTTTTAAGCAAATACTCTGCAATCTAATTATCATCTCATGATATAATTAATGCGGAGTTAAATGCAGAAATGTTCTGTGAATAATGGTTTTCAAAGTTCTATCAACAGACATTTTATTTTTTTTAATCCTTACCCGAGGATATTTTTCCATTGATTTTTAGAGAGAATGGAAGAGAGAGGGAAAGATAGAGAGAGAAAATCAATGTGAGTGAAACACATCAATTGGTTGCCTCCTGCACATGCCTGGACAAGGGCCCAGGCCAGGGAGGAGAATGCAACTGAGGTTATTTGCCCTTGACCGGAATCGAACCCAGGACCCTTTGGTCTGCAGGCTGCAGCTCTATC